CATGAAAATGCATATAAATAGTACGCCAAATAAAAACAAAAACTCGTGGTATTTATACACAAAAATGTACTTTGGCGTGCATATGATACGCATCTACCCCACAACCCTAATCCTACCTATTGCGTAACATATGCACGCCAAAGTACATTTTTGTGTATAAATACCACGAGTTTTTGTTTTTATTTGGCGTACTATTTATATGCATTTTCATGGGTCCGTTTGAACTATAGCGAATAAACTGTGATAATGTGAGAAATGTGTCTGAATAAATGTAGGTTTGACTGTATATGTTTAGGACCTACTGTATGAACATTTTCGAGCTCTGCCACTGACCTGCAGCTTTTTTTTTAGGAATGTTTGATTCCCAGTTTTTGATATATATTTATATTACATTTATTTATTTATTTTTATAGACGTTTTGCCAGTGTTTTGAATACTGCTCATTTATTTTAGGGCAGACTGGGGCTAGTTGTCACAGTGGGCTTTTTTTTTTTTTTTTTAAAGTCCATTTCTGTTTAGACAAGTCTACAAAAAAGGCATTTGAATATTCACATTGTTATCGACCAGGATTTTTTCTCCTCTTCTTGTCACGCTCTACGGGGTAAGTTGTCTCAGTGAAACCTGACTCTGAATATTCAAACACTAAATTATGAAAATAATTCACGAAAAAGTTTAAATTTAAAAGCTGACATACAAATATCTCTCTTACAACTACCTCTCATGAATTTCCAAAAAATACAAAATACTTGTCTTAATGTAAGTGTGCTTTATTGTTTTAACGTATTGCTCAAAATGATTCTATTTTGAGACGCACAGATCATGTGACAACTTACCCCGGTGTCCCATATAAGGATTCCTTTTTTAAACTAAATCCATTCCTGGATAAACAGCACTGCCCTGTTCTTGTTGGAGTGAAACGACTGAAGGACTGAGAGCGGGGTCTGATGCGTGTCATTGGTCGCGTGCACGAGCTGCGCGCTCTTGGTCTCTGCGTGTCCTGCAGACGCGGCTCGGACCGAGATCTGTCTCTCTCTCTCTGCGGGGAACCGAGCGGGACTTCCGCCGGCGGAGGAAGCAATGCAGCAGTGAGCCTCGCACCTGCTCCCGGAGTTCCTCTCGCAGACTCGTCCTCACCTTCTCAAGATGGAGCTTCTTCTGCTGCTCGGTGAGTCTCACAGCTCTAGCTATGATCTGGAGGAGTGTGATTCTCTTCGTTTATCTGAGTGAGGAAAACACGAGCATCAGAAGCAGACGATCAGAATGTGAGACTACAGCTGAAGAGAAACGGGAAAACTACAGCAAATAGAGATGTATTAAGTGAAATCTGCTTCCAGGTGTTGTTTCTTAAAGATTTTGCCTCTTCCATCGTGTTAGACATCACTTTACAGTGTACTGAATAGAATAGAATTGAATTGAATAGAGAAGCGAGAATAGAATAGATCAAAAAGTAGAATAGAATAGATGAGAACAAAGAGCAGAATAGAATAGAATAGAACAGAATAGAATAGAATAGGCATTTGTTTGTTTCACTGCAGTTTTACAGAGAATCTGTCTCACAAACCCCCGGTGAAGAAGACAAAGATTCGCACAGACACAATAGAACAGAATAGAGTAGATCACACTCTTTTGTGTGAATGTGTGTGTGTGTGTGTGTACCTGTGTTTCTATTCTGGTGGGGACTTAAACCTGAATACACACAGACTCATGGGGACTCGTGTCACGGTGGGGACCTAAATTGTGGTCCCCACGGGTACAAAAGCTTATAAATCATACAGAATTAAGTTTTTTGAAAATCTAAAATGTTTGTGTGAGAGAGAGAGAGTGTGTGTGTGTGTGTGTGTGTGTGTCTCTCCTGGTTTCTCACATGTTCTCCTGGTTTCTCCAGTGTCTCTGTGGGCGCTCTGTGTTTCTGCGGAGCAGGAGGTGGAGAATCTCTCCGGACTGTCGCCGAATCCCGACCGGGATATTTTCGTTGTGAGAGAAAACGGAACGACCTGCTTGATGGCGGAGTTTGCAGTGAAATTCCTGATTCCCTACGACGTCCTGGCACTGAACGGGATCGATGTGAGCAACTCTAAAATCCTAAATGAAGCATTCTGAGCTGGTCTAGTCCAAAACACCAACAACACGGATTCGGATTTGGTCCTTTAGGAAGTTAAACAGAAATGCCATCATGATCCGCACGACCCGCCAGGATGCTTTAAACGTTTGAAAACTTTCATGAACAAACATGAGATGATGATCTGATGTGTGTGTGTGTGTGTGTGTGTGTGTGCAGCTGATCACGGAGCAGGCGTCCGTGTCTCTCCCGCGTGGAGCTCAGATCGCTGGGAAATGCGGGAGCAGTGAGTCGGAGCTGCACATCTCGTGGCTCAATCTCGCATTCACATTCCGCATCTTCTTCTCAAAGGTGATCCGAGCAGAAACTGCTCCATCTGAATCCTTACAGCAGTTTTACCACTGTGCCCTAATGTGTGTGTGCGCGTGTATCTGCGTTCATGTGTGTGTGTGTGTGTGTGTGTGTGCGATGGACTGACGTGGTGTGTGTGTTCAGGGATTGCACAGCTTCAGACTCCTGCTCTGCTGAAAGCGGCATCACAGATGCGTGTACAGCTGCATGCGACGCTGCAGAAAACCTGCGCTACGACCCTCAGCTCAGCAGGTAAGGAATTTCAGTTAAACAGCTCTGAGAACGTCTGATCAATGCATGAGACGAGTGTAATACTCACTGTGTGTGTGTGTGTGCAGGAGAAGCGCACCATGGGCAGTGATGGAAAAGCTAAAGAAACTGAAGTGTGGAAGATAAACAAGGTCCAGCTGGTCTACGACACTTCAGAGACGACACACTTCATTAGCGCTTATAATCGTGAGTCAAACAGCTTCATGTTCACAGGAAAGCGTCATAAGATCAGACAAACGTTCATGATTGGCTACAGATTGAGACGAGTAAATAAATCATCCTCATTAACAAATGTCGACTTGTTTTGTGATTTAACGCTCCAGTTTGCTGCGTTCATGTAAATTCACGTGCGTCACAGACTGCGTTTAACCTGCTGCTGGTTATTGAGTTATATTTGATTGAGCTTTTGTTTTATCGTTCAAAATGAGCTTTTCTTGGTGTTTTGGTTTTGCTGAGACCAGGCCCGGATCCAGAATCAAATCACTGAGGGTGCTTCTTAAATTAGTGAGGGTGCTCTAACTATATATATATATATATATATATATATATATATATATACTGTATATACAGTG